CCAAAGTCGGTTCACGGGGGCAGCAGGCCAAGCAAAGCAATTCAGACATCCCTCTCCCTATTAACGCTTTCCAGCTCTTTCTGGGGGACTCTGAGGTCTTCCCAGGCCCGGCGCGATGTGTAATCCCTCCAGCATATTCTGGGTCTGCCCTGGGGCCTCCTACCAGTGGGACATGCCCTGAACACCTCTAACAGGAGGCATCCTGATCAGATGCCCGAACCACCTCAACTGACCCCTTTCAACGCAAAGGAGCAGCGGATCTACTCCGAGCTCCCTCTGGATGTCTGAGCTCCTTACCCTATCTCTAAGGCTGAGCCCAGCCACCCTTCAGAGGAAACTCATTTCGGCCGCTTGTATCCATGACCTCATTCTTTTGGTCTGTACCCAGAGGTCATGACCATAGGTGAGGGTTGGGACGTAGATGGACCAGTAAATGGAAAGCTTCGCCTTCTGGCTCAACTCTCTCTTCACCATGATGTTCCTGCACCACTGCAGAAGCTGCGCCAAACTGCCAATCTATCTCATGCTCCATTCTACCATTCTTGAACAAGACCTAAGATACTTGAACTCCCTCACTTGGGGCAGTAGCTCACTCCCAGCCCGGAGGGTGCAATCCCATTATTAGCTTTAGCACGTTTACACCGCAAGAAGTTAGCTGAGTGAGATGCCCAGCCAGGCAGGTATGTTGTGTTTTATCTCGTAACAGCATTGTTTATGTGTGGCCTATGCTTTGTCCCATATTTTCCCTGAAATATTTCCAAACTGCTGATTAGTCCCAAGTAAATAACATCATCCTCATCATCTTTCTCTTGGCTGTTTCCCATCATCCGCCTGGTGCTGTTTGATGGTGACGGAGAACTTCAAAATAAAGGCTTAATCAAAAGACGATGATATGGATAGATATTTGCATTTTGCATAGATGATAGTGGATTGTTGATCACTAAATCGATGTATTGATCCAGATCTCCTAGCATGAATATGATTGGATGTTAGTCAGCTGGTAGTCGAGCAGCTGATGACTTCACTGCTCTGCCTGAATTGAAGCTTTGCTCCACTTATTATTTATGCAACTGTCTTCGCCATCAGTTGACATTATGAATAAATCTGCAGTTTAATCAGTGGACCTGTAATTTTGGCTCTGACTCTATGCTGATGGTCTCTTGTTGCTTTGTAAACTTCCATATTAAAGTACTAATTGCACCTTTATTTTACAGCTCGCAGCTGCTGCTAATTAGCAGTCAGAATAATATGACCCACCTTTGTCGCAGTGTTTGTGATTGTGAATGAGTTATTTCAGAGTGACAGTACTTTTAATTATTTTTTGTATAGAAAATTATGTAAGGTTTCCATTTGGGGTTAAAATGTGCTAAACAGGAGATGCCAAACAATCTATACGATAACAGAAAATCAGAATCAATTCAGCGTGCCTTTCTGGGACTTGATTACATTATCGTGCAGTACAGTCCATCCATCTGCTACTCCCGCAGGGTGAATTAAACTCACAAGAATTATTTGCCTTTGACCAATCTGGTGTGTGTATGTGTGTGTTACTGTGTACATATTTGCCAACCTTGGCTTCATAATCGCCTTTCGCTAAAGAGCCGAACAAGGAAGGGATTTAGGTGTGTATAGGATGATTAGTGTGGTTTGACTGACAACGCGGTTAAGTAGTCAGAGGATCGGCCTGTTGACAGTTGGACAAAAGAACCCAACGCAGGCCACAGAGAGCATACATATATGTAAACACACATGCACAGATATTCTACAGCCCTCAGAGAGAAGATACACTCGTATATGCATCTCCTTGTCTCTCTTATATCTGCAAGGCAGAAAATATACTCCTCCTCCTCACTAGCTTAGAGGCATTACACATACGCTTCTATTGTCATATGTAAACATGTGCAAATACACACATCCCTCCCTGTACATGCGATACACACACAACCTGCTCAGGCTGTCAGCAAACAATAAGAAAGGAAGGAAAGATAACAACTCTCTTCTCGCTCACCGTCTCATTTTGTAGCACAAACACGCCGCTCGATAGATCAGATGTCGTCAAGAGAGAGGAGCTTATTCTGTAAATGAAGTTTTCAGCATGCAGGGGGGGAACTCTGCTGTCAAGGCACTGAAAAATAAGACTAAATGCGGCAAGATCACACTGTGTGGAGACGCGACAGGTTTGTCATTAAAGCAGAAGAAAGTGATGCGTAAATTGGGAGAGCAAATAAAGATAGCATACTCTTTCAGCTGGACGCATGCTGTGTGGAGAGAGGGGAGAGAGTGGGGAAGAAAGCGATGAGAATGTGGAACAGATACATTTAACTGAGCCTTCAGCGGCTCGGTCTCCACGTGAAGGGAGAAGTCTGTCACTGAAATGTGGTAAATTGTGTTGTAAAAGACACGGGACACATGAGTTAGAACGGAGTGGGAATTTGACAACAAGACAGAACTGTACATTTTAATAAGAAGAACCTGAATCTACACTCAGGTGTCAGTTTATTGAGTTCACCACGCTAAAACTAATGCTGTGCAAGAGGTGTCTCTAATATTTAGTCTCACTGATACAAATGGGGAGGAAGAGATATTAGAAATACCTCTTAGTAAAACAGTAATTTGCTATTGCACATATCACTAAAAAAGTTGAATTAACTTAGTTTAACAACTTTATAAACATTATATCACCATAACATTATAATGTGAACGTTACATTCTACATTATTGTAATAAACATTATACCGTTTATGAAGAACAGATGTGTTGTTTTATCATTAGTTTTACCTCAGTGAACCTAATAAACTTGCAACTGTGAGAGAAAATTCCTTCTGAGCTGCAGGGGCATAAGAGTGTCATCATAACATCATTACAGTAATTTGTAATAAATCGATGATTTAAGTATTTTCTACAGTGGAAGGAAAATGTAGTACAGTAAACTTGTAATATGGCTGGCCAGAAATTCATTTAGTTAATTTATTCAACATTTATTTATTCACTTTCAGTGGAAATGTATCACATTACGTTATTGTTTTTACAGAATTCTGTGTTTTCTGTGCATATACTGTATGTATGTATACATTATATTATGCAAGGGTTTAGGGTTTTTCAACATGGTGGGAGACACCTATTAAAGCCTACCTACACCTATTAAAAAAAAAAAAAAACCCAACAACAAAAAAACAGCAGAATTTGAAAGTACTTCCTCCCTCTTCCAACAGCAGCGCTGGGTCTGACCTGTGTCTAACCTGTGTCTAACCTGTGTAATTGCAGACACAGAACATTTGCTGATTTGGCGGGGAGCCGGGCTGTCTGGTCCCCCCTGAGCTGGCGTTTGTGCTGGCTGGATTGGGGTCGCTGCTGCTGCTGACTGTGGGTCAAGCTGCTGCATACTCTCCTCCCAGTAAGGTGTTCTGTAAAGGCGGGGAGCGAGGCAGGGGATACGCTGTGATTGGAGGCTTTAGCTACATACTGTGAACTTGAAGTTAAGGCTTTAGCTCTGGTTGTCAGACGGGTAGTCTGTTACCAACATTTTCTGTATATCTCTGAAACGCTTTGCTGATACTGACACATGTATTGTTTCATTTATTGTCAGACTTTCCTTTAGACTCTTTTTTGGGGTAGCTTTGCTGTGTGCTGGAGTAGGAACTTTCTCAGCAGGATTCTCCAGCACTGGATCAGGCTTTCACCAAAGAGATCTGCATTTGTAGAACAGCCTATAGGAACACCTCTCACTGAAATGATCTGTGATTGGCCATAGTCTCCTATCATGACTTAGATTTTCTAAAGCAGTGGTTCTCAAATGGTCTCAATCCAGATATGCTGTGGGTTTTTGTGATAACCACACATTATTATGGCAATATTCAACTGGGCCTATACAAAAAGCTCTGAATGAATGTTTAATGGACTGTATCAGTACTAGGCTTGTCACGATACCAGAATTTCAGTAGTCGATACCAATACCAGTGAATTTCCACGATTCTCGATACTCATTTGATCCCACGATAAAAATTAAAAAAAAAAAAAAACAACAGAACTCATGTATTTCTAAATTCACTACTTTATTAAAACTGTTTCAAACTTTAAATTTCTTTAAACGTTAGCCATCTGTTACAGGGTAAGTTATAACGTAAGGTAGCGAGTACTAGTAGCTGCCCCTATAAACGTAGTAAGCTGGCTCTCAAACCCAAATAATGTAACATATATTTCAGGGTAAGTATAACATAACACAAGTGATGGTAAATTGAAACTCACTCACCATGAATTCTTTAAACAAGTCAGGGTGTCTGTCTTTTAAGTGTTTAGCCAGGTTTGAAGTGTTTCCTCCTTTGGTCTGGAAACTTCGGAGGCACCGTTTGCACACTGGTCTTTGCGAGTTTATAATTACTCCGCTTTCATCTGCCTCAAATGCAAAATGTCTCCACACGCGACTCCTACTACCTGACTTTTCGACAAGCCGAGGTGTTGTGGCTCCAGCAGCACTTGGGGCCGATCTACCTGTTTTATGGGCCGATCAGACAAAACAACAGCAACAAAAAAAACGGTCCACCAGGAGAGTGTCTGGTCTGCCAGATGGTCAGTCCAGCCCTGCATGTAACATAATGCATTAATCATATTGAGTGACCCTGCCCTTCTAATACAGGCCAGCACTTGGCACTGAAGTCATAAGACATCAGAAAACGTGTATCATCCCTAAAAGTAAGGAGTAGAGACGGTTATTCAAGGATATGCATTTATGAAGTCCACAATATGCATTTAAAGTCATACTGCTACTTACATACATAAAAGTCTGTGATTCAGTCTAATTTTTGCCTTATTGTAATGACTTATTAGTTATACTTACTTATAATGCGTTAGGCGTCTGAAATTCTGATGTGCTCTTTAACTGATATTTTTCTCATCCACTCATTGTTAACACAGGGACAGTGAAAAATGGAAGGATTTGTTCATGTGTTTTTTTTATTAGCTAACAATTAAGGATTAAAATATTCTATCTATTTATCTTCCAGGTTGTCTATACCAGAATCAAGAGTGCCGGCTTGTGATCCACTATGAACAGGGCTTCTCTGTGCTGGCTGACCCCAGATTGGGAGACAGGGAGAGCTGGGAGGAGAGAGGCCCTCAGACACCCACCAGGCCCCGAGTGCTCCTTTCCTACCCCTACGAAAAACTAAAGATGTCCTCAGACGACGGAGTTCGCATGCTCTTCCTTGACTTTGGTGGGAAGGAGGGGGAGATTGTGAGTGTTTCATTTGTTTTTTTCTGACACAAAGAAATGTGACAAGATGTGCTCTGATAGGAACTCTGTTGTCCTTCGTGTTCATGGTCCACTGAAACTCTGTTTTGTTCTGCATATAAATAGTCAAACACACAGCTAGAAAACCATCACAGAAGAGGCTGATTTGCCATTTTTTGCCCCAGTAGTTGCTTCAATAGACAAGAATGCAAAGCTGCATTTTGCAAATGTACCAGATTGTTACTTTTAAAAAAATTGAGTTCAAACAAATCTAGACTAACGTAATTTGTTTGAATTTGAACCCATATAGCCTCATCCAAAACTACTGTAATTAAAACAGACATGTTTCCATCATTCATGGTCTATTTGGCCAAATCCAAAATGCTTCCACACAATACCTGTTAGATGGTTTGGTGTCATTATCACCCTTTTAGCATGGCTTGCTAGTTTTCTTTATTTGCTTTGGTCTAGTAAGAAGGACAGCCTAATTTACTGACAGAGAAACAGGGTGCAACTGGTCAGACAGATGGTGCATTTTGGGAACAACCCCTGCTGGAGTATAAGGCTTATAGTCTCAGAATTTTTGATTTGAACATATTATTACAGATGAATATTTATTTTTTTGCCCAGCCTGGTCGCCAGAACAATGTTCAGGGTGTACATTTCTGCAAATCAGGAATACGTTACATTTGCACGTATCATACCAGCATTTCTAAAGTGATGTAATATGTTTGAGGGGTATGTACTGTATTTTGTCACACCTTCATTGTAATATACAACATGACTTCGTTATATGGAGATGGAGGGGATGGTGGACGGCATGTCTCCCTGGTGAGACGCCTGCCAAGCTGCAGACCACTGTCCCAGACAAACAAACAAACAACAACACTGTCATTAATCACGTTTGAGCCACCAAACTTGGGTGTTTTTTTTTGTTTTTTTTTTAGATATTTGGGGGACTATTTGCCTTTATTCGATAGGACAGCTATAGTGTTAGGGGAGAAGAGAGAGGGCGAATGACATGCAACAAAGGGCTGTTTTAAGCCAAACATGATCTTATCCAGCCATAACCAGCTGTTTTTTGCACATACGTAAGCGCACCTTCACCACATTGTTGTTGAGAAACATAAAGCTTCAACATATCTGCTACATAATAACATACATATGTATCTGTGGTTTGCAGAAATGTTCAATGCAAACATTTGTTATAGTGATTGGGTTCGTTGCAACATTTATACTTTCAATTTTGAATTAAAAGCTTTTTAATCTTCTCCAACGTACAAGACAAAACATTTTGTACTAATTGTAATAATTATACTTAGTAATATCCCGTTCCAAGTGAAGCTGTGTTAAATGTACTTCTTTAAGCCTAAAATAACTGTGCTTTTTAGTTTTTGCTTTTCAAGTCACACTGTTAGAAAAGAAAATGAAATATCAAGCTTACTCTGCTGTGGTCGTGTACAACTCAGTACAATAAATAGAACAAGTTCATACCCACTCTCAGGGGTTTTCAGGAGGCCTTCTGGGAAATGAAGCCAAACACAAACAGGAGAACAAGTACACGAGACAGGCAGAGGGAAAGTGGTACAGCAGAAAGTAAATTACAGCACTTCATCATAAAACAACTCCTGAAATAAAAGGAACTTCACACATACGCAGGTCTTACCAGGTAAGAGCGCTGGAGAGGAGAGTTTTCTTTAAAAATAGCCTGCCACTTACTGTAAGAGTTTTAATCTGTTTACACCGCTCACTCAACAGCTCTCTGTATGAACGTCCAGGTGTTTCAGGGGCCACTGTCAGAAGTTATCGATGTGTGTACCTGAAAACAACCAAGTACTACCAGTCTCACTACCCAGTGTATTTGAAAAGTTTTTAGCTTCTTGGAAATGATTTGACAATACTGATATGAATATTAATGCTGGTATCAGGAGGATTAGCTCTAGTAGCCCCCTCCCTTAGCACCAACTGTTTTACCCAAAAACACAACACTGATGTTTCATCATTCATAAAGCCACAGCACTGTGAGTTACCGTGTGCTGGAAAATAAAGTGACAGTGAAAACTAAAATATTTACTCTCTAGGCTTATGGGAATTACAAATTGGAAACTGAGTGGTTTTGTATCGATGCCTCGTACTCTTTGTACAACAGTCCACGCACAGCTCCGTATAAAACTTCTGTCAAATACACTCGTGTTTCACGGCTCAGATTATGCTGAAGGCAAATAAGCAAAGACTTTAGAGCTTTGATTCAAAACCCTCTGTTGGCTAACTTAGCAGAATAGATTTTAGTGTCTGTAGCATTTCTGAATCCCAACACAGTCATAGACGAGGCTTTATAAAAATCCCAAGGCACTTGTGGATGTGGCTGATGGCTCATTAACTAACATTTGAAAGTGGAATCAGCTGGGCTTTTTTTTTTTTCAAAGTGTTGACTATACTGTCATTAGTTGGCAGGGACTATGTATGTCTAATTTTGTCACAGTAATTGACAGTTCAACTCCCTCGTTCAGAAAATGTGTTATAGAGCTTGGATCAAGCCAAACCATTGATTGTGGATTTGAAAACAAACATTATATACACGTCCCCACTGTGATTGATCAGCAAGGCAAAAAACAAAATAAGAAGACTAAGAGTCAGTGCTGTAGCTGAGGCACAGTGGTGTTTGTGCTGGATGCTTACTAAATGCCTGAGTTGGCATGCGTATAATGACAATGCTGCAACATACTGTTGTTTAGCAATTACGGTGTTTACTATTTTCACAATCATAGTTTAGCATGTTGGTATGCTAATATTTGCTCATTACCACTAAATATAAAGTACAACTGAGGTTGACACTATTGCCATTTTAACAAGTATTTGGCTGTAAACCAAAGTATGCTGTTGGACGAATTCAAATTTAAAGGATGAAAAGTTGAGAGATCACCAAAGTTCATTCTGAGGGTTTTATGGTAATCCACCCAGTAGTTGTCAATATATTTCACTTGATATCTGTTAGGCACTGTACGTTATTTATCAGAGGGGGGTGACCAGGGGTCTTTACCCGGAGCCTCCCTGAGTGACTGAGGGGGGAAGCATGACCCTCCCTTCAACATAAATAACCAGATTTTTGTAACTTCCCACCAAATGTACATATGGAGCTAACCATCAAACAGCACAGAGGGAGTTATCGCCAAAACAAACAGCTAATCACTTAAGCAAAATTCGAATCCTCCTTAAAAATCACATCATCACACAAGCTGTTTGTGCACTTCAACAGAATATGGGTGCAGGATAGCCACACGCAAAACCAACAAAATTTAACAAGCCTACACACCCACACAAACACACACACACACACACACACATCACACCATGCAGACAGTCAGCAATAGCAACATAATGACCATTTTTCTCAAATAAACTGAAACGTACATGAGAGTGGCAGCAGCAGCTAGAATATCAGTTACTTGGGACGTCGGCTCTTATTTGATTATAAAACTTACCCTGTGAAGATCAGAAGTTAAAAGTTAAAAACGAAATCATGAAGTTGGAAAAAAAAAGCCTTTTTCATCCATACAGAAGCGCAGAACTTAATGTTTGATACAGGATGTGGTTAGTGCAAATGGTTTCTCTTCATATTTTCAGTGTGACATAGAATGAAGTGATTTTGATGAAATATCACTATTTTGAGCTTCAATTTGATTGCCTTTTTTGATGGAAATGCTTGTCGCACATTTTACGTTCAAAGAAATTTACAGGTCTGACGATGATTTTTGTTTTCATCAGGGTTGCCCCCTAATAGTTGACCAAATGTTAGTCGACCACAAAGGTCATTAGTCGGCGAGATTTCATTGGTCACTTTCTTACAGGAAAAAAAAGAACTATTAGGAATGAATGATGAAACTATTAGGAGCTGTGCCTTGTCAAAATAAATCAAAACCTATATGACTGGACCATGTGGGAATTTAATTTGAAAGGACAGATACAGGAAGTGGCCATGCTCAGCAGTCACACAGGAGTCACGTTAATTTACAGGGCTGGTACCTGCGGTTATTACACAGGCTAGTTAATAACATGTCGGGCAGGAAAGTGTGGGATCATTTTGAGAAGGTGAAGGACAAACCCAAGGTGATATGTAAATGCCGCGGGCAAACATCTGCCTATCATTTATTGTACTGTTCAAACGCACTTGCAGGGTTTAGGGTTCTGAGAGTATTTAAAATAAATGTTGAATGTCGCTCCCCTAAGCCAAAGAAAAAATCATAACCCCCTCTCCAGTGCTTAAAAAATTATTTGAAGTGCCTCCCCCGCTTTGCACAACCTCCTCCCTTCTCATAAATAATGAACAGTCCCTTTGCTGAACCATAAATTTCAGCCAGCTGGTGGTGTTTTGGAGGAAAAGTCAGGAGATCACCAAGCCCAGTACAGTTCATCATCTCTGAACTATGAACGTTTGTACAAAATGTTGTGCAAATCCATCAAGTAGATATTGAGATATTTCACTAAACAAAAACTTTGACCTGCTGGTGATGCTAAATCAAAAGTCAGGGGATTGCAAAGGTCATTAGGATTCATCTTTGGGCCACCATGGACATCTATACCAAACTTCGAGGCAATCCATCCAATAGTGGGAATACTTCGGTGTTGGACTAACAGACAGAGCAACTGACATTGGCACTACCAAAGCCACACTAAAAAACTTCCAACATCCTGAAAATCCGACTCTGTGGACACCCAAGACTTTTGTGGATCAGCACTGGTGTGTAGGTTTACTCATATTTCATTGCACTGGGTTTGCTGGGGATGAGGTAGCCTCTTAAACCTCCTCAGTGTTCAATATGACCGACTAAACAGTAGTCTAAGTGTGAATTTATAGGTTCAATGTCCCTATAGGCCTAAGGAACAGGATATGAGTCACAGTACCTCTGTTGATTCAGGCTATGAACAGAGCTTTGTTCACAGTGATGATGTTTGTGTGTGCTTAGCTCCAGCTAGGTCTGTCTAATCCTTGCCTCATGGGGAACTGTTGTCTGTGTAGTTAGTTTTGAATCTACTTTTATGATTTCATGTGCTTTACAGACTTTTTCTTTTCCCTCCCTCCCCTGCCTCTTCTCCTTTCTGTCATCCCTCCTGCTTTTATGAATCCTCACATCTTTTAATCATATTCTCTCCTCTTTACACCGTCATGTTTTGCATTATTCTGTCTCCTTCAACTTAATTCTGTGGTTTTGACTTTTTTGCTTCCTCCTCCAGCAATTGGACCTCCATTCGTGCCCGAAGCCAATCGTCTTCATCCTCCACTCCTTCCTCTCTGCAAAGATCTCCCGCCTGGGTCTGGTGGCCTGACCTCTCTGAAAGGACATTTCATCTCCTTTGAAAACAGAAATCCAGCTTGTTTTTACACTTCTCTGCAGCCCGCATGCAGTAGTACATCACGTCAAACTCCTTTAGTCGGGGACCCAAGCTGAGTGAATGTAGCCTCTATCCGGAAATTGACCTTTTTGGGTCTTCAAGTTAAAGAAACACTGGAGAAACCATTTGAGGTTGGTTTTGCTTTGAGTGAAATGACAGATTTTGGGGGGCGGGGGGGGGGGGGTGATGAACCCTTCCTTTAAGGGCTGCATGGGCTGAAGTGTTGATTGAAGAACCACAGAAGTAAAACAGGACTGGGCTAGAAGCAGAGAGATGACATTCGGACAGACGAAGACAGATTGGGCATTGCTGTCACATGTGTGATTGGAAGGACTGGACACATGCAGCGTGGATGAGAAGAATTCACTTTTAATTCAATCAAAATGTAATGGCAAACTGCCTTCCATTTACCAATTATATAATTTATTCACCATTAGCTCTGAAAGGACATTCTGAATTTCACTCAGTCATTTTTCTTCACCAAACACTTGACACACTGTGGAAAAACTTCATGCATTTGTCTTTGTTAGCGTCCCCTGAAATGTCTTGTTAGTGTGGTGTCAGCATTCATCATTGGAACTCTGCGGGCACAATCACCCGCACAATTACCCAAAACATGACAGCTGACTCAAATTCAAAATGTCACAGTATTCTTTTAACAAGTTGCATGCTGTGACTATGCGGTGGTCAAGGTATTTCAGTGTTTGACTGATCTGACAGTGATCTGAAGTCAGTTCTGATGCTTTCAAATATCAAAAAACATTGGCTTCAGTCACGATGAATTACAATATACACAAGCATTCAGATTTCATTAATCACTCGTTTAAATTCCTGGTGCTGTTAGTCATTCAAAACCAGAAAAAAACAATATCCAACTCATGAACAACCCGAGCTTAATAGCTTGCAGCTGTGGCAATTTGAGGATCCAGGTGGCATTTACTGTTGTGTTTCTGATACATACAACTTTAGTGTCCACAGAAATACTTGTATTACATATGCACTGAAGTTTATGATAAGGATAAAGATGCATATAATTAATTTATCCCTGAGAGTACCATAACCAAATAATGAAGTGATATTCTGAATACTAAACACATTTTGAGCAGATAATTTAAAGCAAGAGTTTGATTTTTCAGGGAAGTTGGCTTCTTCATTTTAGATGATGGTCTATATAAAGCTACAGCCAGTAGCCGCTTAGCTTAGCTTAATGACCAACAACACAGGGAAACAGCCAGCTGGTTAAAGAGAAACTTTTTTAACCATGACCCTATTTTCTGATGTTTTTGTGTCAAAGTGAGTAATGGAGACAAAAGTTTTTGAAATTGGTTGAGTGTTGAGAGAGACCGCTGCACTGTAATCCCTATGGGCAATTTTATACCATGTCCATTAAAAGTTCTTGTTTTTGCCAGGCTCAGGTTGTTATTAGAAGTGTCTGACAACATTATGGAAAAGACCCTACCGAGAAATGTAATGTTTTTCCTTACATTTCACTGATCTGGTCTGTTTGTTAGTGTGTGTAACCAAGTCTTGCTCAAGGAGAAGTCTCATTCTGAAATCTCACAGACTTTTTCACATCGTTCAGATCAGCGAAATATGATGAACTCTTCCTGGCAGTCCTCTCTCTAACTCTTGCTAACGTATCCACCGTTGTTTTTCCTGCAAGAAGTCACCTCTCCTGAGATTTCAGAATGAGACCTCTCCTCGAGCAAGACTTGGTCACAATAACAAACAGACCAGTGAAAGGTAAAGGGCAAAGGTAAAAAATATTGAAGTTCGCCTTTCATTGAGGAGTTTCAGAAATGCTAGTGGGAAGATTTTGTTACTTGTGGACAGGCTGGCTGTTTCCCATGTTGGGCTAAGCTAACTAGCCTCGGACTATAGCCCCATATATTTAACGGATAGACATGAGAGTGGTAGCATATATATCTTCTCATCCAACTCTCAGCAAAACAGTGAATGAGCGTACTTCCCCAAACTGTTAAACTGTTCTCCAAAGGGTCTGCAGTCTGATCAGACATGATGATACTGTTCGCTCCCAGTGGAAAAGGAACTGTTCATGATTATAAGCCGGATTTACTAGCTGAAATCCTTTGATACTCTTGTTGGAACTGATCCTGTTTTCCTGGTTATCTGACAACAGCAAACTTCTCTCTTGAGTACTTCTAATATTCACATTTCGAAAACTGAAACTCAATCAAACGGTGCCACAATCACCTCATCAAGTATCATTTGTCTTTCATTAAGGCAAGGTAGCCATGATTGGAGTCTTCAATCCTGCTTTAGTCCCGCAGCAGCCATGGCAGTGCGTGTGTGTCTGTGTGTGTTTGAAGGTGCGTTGGTGCAGCCTGTATATGGGGACATTTCACTGGTATTGGCACTGACCTTATGAGGACACCACTGACTTGTGAGGACATTGCCCATGTCCTCATAATTCAAACACTGTAGAAGCACTCGTAAGAAGTCATAACAAGCGCCCTCACGCTTTTTCTTGGTATGTCCCCATATGTGTGTGTGTACTGCACTGTCTCTGCCATGGCTGGCTGCCAGGTCTTTCCTTGTGCCTTCAGATGACTGAGAAGAAGACATCTGAATTTTGAATGCGACAATGTGACTCCTATTATGGCTACTTTACTTTTGCTTATAAGTGCAGAAACCAGCAGTGATTTTGTCTTTGCTTTCTTCTTCATATCAGTCACACATTTCCTGTGATCATTCACACCAATGATTGTATATATAGATGGACAAAGCATCTCCACTTCCTCCAATATTGCAAAAATGAAGTATGGAGTATGGCTGCTGCCGTCTTGCACTGGTGACATCATTGGAGGCAGAGTCTGCCCAGTAGCGATGTCTGCAATATCGAGGTCCCACCCACACACCTTTCTGACCAGTCAATCATGACACCACACCCCATGGCACCCCTAGCATGAAGAACTATCTAAAATGACAGAAACCATGTTTAGGAAAAATTAATTTGACATATTTTTAGTTGGGCCCATCTCCATCCGCTAACATGGAAGGGGCGGGGTTTCTGATCTGTAATGCAGCCAGCCAACAGGGAGCAATCGAGGTGTTTTGGCTTCACTTTGGAGGAGCTCGTCCATCTTTATATACAGTCTATGATTCACACACACACACACACACACACACACACACACACACACACACACACACTGTGAAGAGTGATTTACACATTGTAATCCCACCACTCTCTAGAAGAAATATCATCTGTTTTTTTGAAACGTAAAGATAGTGGCAGTATTGTAACACTTTTGTTCAGCCAAGAAGCCAGCACTTACTGATAACCTCAAGTGGAGAGAAGCTCTTTGAGTAAAGGCTGCTTTGATATGTAGAATACTCCGATGCCTTTGGCAGCTACTGTACTGTCACTCAGAATGATAAAGCCTAGTTTTTAACTCAAACGGTGCACATAAATCATCTATTTAACAAAAACGACACGATGAGTTTGTTTTTTATTGTCTTCACTTGTCGTTTATTCATTTCTCATCAACAGAGGAAGCCCGGAAAAAAACGTGGGCTTTGGAGAGCTTAAATTTCACTTCAATCATATTAAAATGTAAATTACATCTGCAATTTGTTTGCTAATGATGCTGATTCTTAGTAGTCGGATATTAGACTATTCCCTTCTTCCATATTCAGAACTGAAATGAACCCTGTTGTAAACACACATTCTCTGCAGTGCAGTATTTTATCTTGAGGACAGTTAGGATGAGAGGTGGTGTACTAATTTACTGAGTATTAGTGACAGGTTAGTTTGATTTGGGAAGTGTTTTATTGATCAGCTCAGCAGGAAGGATTCATGTGTCTTTAGCCAAAGAGCTTGGAAGTTATTGAGCTGTAGGCAGCACTTAACACAATCGTAACTCTTTGACATTGTTTACTTGGCTCCTAGGTAATGAGCTGGCATCCTTTCTCTTTTCCTCACACACAAACACACAGACACGCACACACACACACATAAACAGATGGATGGACACATTCATGTAATTGAGGGTAAAGAGTTTAGACCTCGAGCACAGTCATAACTCTTGACATTGCTGACTAGTTGACATTGTTTACTAGCAGATTCTTCCACCTTTTCCAGACCTCTTTGTATTTATCACCATTTCCCTTCTGCTCGGATCATTACTGGATCAACTCAGACTCTCAGTGGGGCACTAAACGTCTGCAGATAGCGATTGTTGCATCATGTGAAAGAAAAACACAAGAACTCTCTACAGGTCATCTTCCCCACTGAGACAGACAGAAAGATGTGTTTGAGCCAATCTAGGACCTAAAAAACACACACAAAGTGAGAAATTTTAACACACAAGCATGCACGCTTACTAATAGCCTGTGTTCTCATTGTCGAGAGAGAGAGAAAGAATGACAGAAGGCCGTATTGACTTAGACTGTCCGCTTTTCATTTTGAGGGGCTGGAACAGAGCCAGATCAATTAGCAATCAGCCATAAACTTTGTGTGTGTGAGAGACAGTGTGTGTGTGTTTGTGCTAATAAATGTCCAGAGTGATGTTCATGTGCACACAGTGGATACTTCAATGAAGTGCAAACACATTCCGCAAAGGTTTTTGTTTGTTTGTTTGTTTGTGTGTGAAAAGCAGCTCTGAATGAAAAGCTTTTTTCTTGGCTCAGTCTCTTGTTGCATTCCTCAGCTGTGGCAGGTCCTCACAGGTTCTTAACTGCTTCTGTGTGCGTGTGTGCGTGTGTGTGTGTGTGTGTGTGTGTGGGTATGACTAAAGACCAGTTAACTGGGACAGCTTGTCTCCAATTGGGTAAACGCTGATTTTTGAGTCAGTGGTTAGGGTCAGGTGTTAGGATTTGGGTTTCAACTGGGGTGCACTGGCCTGCTGACCTGGTGTGTGACATGGAAGGAGAGAAATGATGATGTGGAAAGGGGGTTCGGTCCCTAAGCAAAGTTGTAGACCATCACCACAGAGGAAGAGGCATGTCCAGTTTTATTTTTGAGTGGGTGGTGGCTGTTTGATGGGGTGACTGAAGGGGCGGGGTCCTAGTTGAATCTGTGGTTTTGGTGGGGTTGATATTGGATGGTGATGTTGGGTTATGGTAGGGTTGTGGTGGCCTTCCGTCAAATGGGGAAAAACGCCACGTCTCCATTTGCCAAAAAAGTTGATATTTGGGCTAGTGGTTAGGGAGTTACGTATTCCACCACAGGTTACTGGAGGGTTAGGGTTAATGAGTGAGGTCCCTAAAATGTTTGCCTGGGTGCTGACCTTTAAATCTGTCCACTTTAGCGAGTCTAAGTTGACTGATAATCAGTCACTGATTTGTCAGGCATCGTAACATGAATCAGCTGTTTCTCGGTTAAAATAAAAAAACGACTGTCAAGCATTGTTAAGCGTTGCACTGTAAGTGCAGGAGGTGAGGAGTAACAACTACTATGACAAGATAGATGCTTCTCTAACAAGGCTGTCCTATATCAAAATGTCTTCTCAATATTACCTGACATTGCAGTTTGTTTTACATCACTCTGCTCCACTCTTAAATCCCCATCAAAGGTAAAGTACGCAGGTAAGTACGCATCAGTGTGGACTTACAATGACGTTAGATTCAGGCACATTTGTTTGTCTCTAGTGAACTGGTTGGGGAAAACTGAATCCCTCTCAACTATGGAAATAAGTTAAAGTGGACACAATGTCAGACTGAAGAACAGAGTGTAACAAGCTAGCAATTCTGTCTGATATCAGGCAGGTAAAATGTAATTTATAATGTATTCTATTAGATTACTCAAACTAAGTAATGTAATCTAAATACTTTGGATTACTTGATATATACTTCAAAATCATTTTTGCCAAGCTCATTTGACTGGGTCCTATAATTCCATGCGAAAAACACATTCCTGACAGTGTCCTGGCTGTGCATCTCCTGCTTTTTTTTTAATGTTTTTTATGAGAAATGCATGGCTAATATGAATTTTACACCATGTCCTAACAGAAAGCAAGTGTTGCTCTCTGTCCACACTGAATCCATCATGGAAACAAATCATGCTAACAGCTGTGTGCATACCTGGAGAGGTAACCACTTCAAAGATCGGTGAGTACATGCTATCTTTCTTTCTTTGTACTTTTTAAACAGAAAACACATTTTATATTGTGATATTCATTGGAAATGACATAGCCTACAATATAGCCACGAAGGGCAAAGCCAAAATAAGTCCAACTGAAACTGAACTGGCATTTAACATTTAATGCTAATTTGTTCAAAAGCATCTTCCATTGTCTAGAAGAAAAGTGAGGTCACCTGTTAGAAAAATAAGTCTTATTTGTAAAGGTGAAAGTTGCAATTATTTAATCCTTATTTAAAACTTTTTTGAGTAATTTCAGAAGTCTTGGGATAGATTGAGAGAGAATGTGAGATAAGGACCAAATCATCCAACCTATGTCCCTACTGCACTGAATTCAGAGTTATACTGTGGCACAGTACAAATTGGAAATTAAGTAATTTTTACAAAGCCTCTCAGCTACAGCAGGAGCTCACTGTGCTCCAGATGGCGGGATGCTTGGCCACGGCGATGTGCTTCAGATTGTGGGTGGCTCCTTGTGACATTTCTCTCTCTAAGCAGAGGAAACTAGATTTCAGAGTGCCTGATGCGCAGTGCAGGCGGTCCTCACTGTCATCATCAAGCATTGCACACAAATCCTTGAACTGTACACACTCATGTGAAATGTCTTAATATTTCTCATTCTGACCAAATTAATAAAGGTTTGCTCTAGTTTTCTGTCAAGGTGGACTAAACTGTTGTTTCTCAATGTGATGCACCCCATGAATTTAATAATGCAGTTCATAGTTGCTGCAGTAACACTATGTGGTGTCCTTTTATCATGACTCGGGGCTGCAGATGTCCATAGCATGTAAATTTACTCAATGAATTCACGAGTCATGCCTAACAAGCTGTCACACTCTGGAATCTAGACAAACATAATTTTCTTTTCTCCATATTTTTCAAAGTTAGTTAAACCACATGTAGCTAGCACTTAATCTAGAAAAGTAGCAGTATTTTATTTATTTATTCATTTATTGTCCACTTGGGGGCAGTACAGTAAACACAAAACATATTGTCACTATTTAGATTATTTGATAAACAAATGCTTTTTTATGTGTTCAGTAAAATCAGAATAGCAGTAGTAGTCATTTGGAGCTGTGTTTTTAACCACCCAACAGCTATATACAAATATTAATTCTCATTTTGCTCTCATTTGCTTTCCACCAACACCTTGAGGAAATATCCATCTCTTTAGCAGCTAAGTGCTCCATTATGTTCACCAGCTACCCAGTTTCTTTGTCTGTGTGCCTGTGCCGGGAAAATGTTATTTAAATCAACACTTTCCACATTTAAGTTAGCCATGTAAAGCTACAGCTTGTTATTTGTATGAAAATAACTGTCATATTTTCTAAAACTCTCACTATATTCTGAAAGGAGTACATGAGACAGACAGTCTGTGAAAAAGATTACTGTCCTCCCCCTTCTCCTCCTACTGCTTCTAATGGCATTCGCTAAAATCAGACCGTGGTGGAGCAGAAACAACTGATCAGAGCAGAGAGGAGTCTCAAACGCAGCTGTTAGTCATGTCAGTCACTTCATAAACTGCAGTCAAAGTGTCAAATTAGGCAGCACTGATCAAATATGGATAAAGATTGTTACTGTGATGCCTTCTGTCACACTCTCTCTGTGAAATGTGAAAGTTGATCTTGCTGGTGGGCAATACTTCCGTCGACTGTTTCCAACATGGCAGCTGGAGAACAAATGTATTCATTTTATGGCTAAACAGTACACTAACGTGTTTCTGAAAACATTTGATGAGAGTAATAGGCAATACAATAACAGAATATTGATTCATATTTGATCAGCGATGCTGAGTTTGGTAGTTTGACAGCAGTTCAGCTGTGTTTGGCCCCGATCACACAGACAGCATTTTAACAGATGGAGGAGAAACTGGTGGTAGCGGTTGCTGGATACCCAGAGCTATACGGCCCGATGATAGACAGCAAGTTGTCAAACTACCCCAGAGTCATCCTAAAATATGCCTGGAAATGGCCATCATGGAGGCAAAGCTCCTGGATCCACCCTCTTTTTTAGGGTCTCATGTACCCACACAGATCTCCGTTTCCCTTTGCCCAACAAACTATTTGCTGACAGCCTCTCACCCTCAACCAGAGCTACAGCAAGTACCCTCTGCCTGTCCATTTTAGGAACTAGATACTATTTACTGTGGGGAAAAAAACACAAAAAAAATTCTAGATTGGTTACACAGGAAGGTCAAGGTAAAGACGTGATGGGGTGGTTATCCGACAATAATAAAAAGGCATTCACTAGTGGCATTCAATTTTTTTTAGAAAAGGCAGCACAGTTTGCTTTCTGTGCAATCAAGGCCTTAGACTTCTTGGCTCTTGCAGATAGCAAGTGCTGAATCAAG